GTTATAACCCACCTATTAAATTTACTATAAGAGTTGGAATCGAATGGAATCGAACACAGAATCGTTAGGATCCTTATTATTGACTGAATCTCTAGATGCTATATTTTATAAGAATCTATTAGGACAATACGTGAAGACCAGGGATTCTAGTTATCCTTGAAAATAAGCTGGTGATGATTTTCACTTACTTTTTGACAATATAGGTTTCATATGCAAGGTTAGGTATCAATGTCTATATGAAAATCCAATCCAACTCTATCAATTAAATACTTTCGCCACACTTGGACAATAGATATGCCAAATCTTTTTTGTGACTTGGAGGCCAACCTGCATAAAGTGGCTGCAGTGCCTTTATATATAAAGATAATACCATCTATATTCCTCTCTTTATTGACTCTGCCTATTGTACATCAAGCCAACTTTGAAAAGCAAGCATACCAAATCCCAACCATGACTTGGAAGTAAACCTGTATACTTGGCTATAGCACCTTCATATGCTTGGGTACTCTTTAATTTTTTAGCCTTCTGCTAGGTACTGCTCAAGAATTTGTAAGTGTTTCGAAATGTTTGCTATAAAACTTGGGTGATTAAATAGGTACTTAGACAAAGGGACCAATTTTTTTGAGCCTTGCATTAAGCTCTTCTATGAAAGAGAGATTTAGTTTAGTTTAACTATTTATAATATTATTGTAATGGTAAGTTACTTATAATAAATAAGAAGTTAATAGTTGTCTTTGTTTCCAAAAAAAAAAAATAGATATTTAATATAATGGCTACAAACTCTTGTTTAATAAAAGTCTTATATTTTATATTTATTTATAGTAAAAAATATATATATTATATATACAATTATAAATTTATTATTATAATTAAATATGATTTTTTTTTTAACAAATTAGTTCAAACAATAATATAAATATAAACTTAGTTTTTTTGTTTTAAAAATTATTAATTAATCAAATAATGATATATTTTTTCATCTTTATAACAAATTAACTTTTACAAATATTTATTTATTATTATATAGTAGTAATTGATTTTTTAATCAATATTTTTAATCAACTTTCTTAATAAATAACAATATAAATATATAATATTGTTATTAAATAATAATAAGATCTATAAATTTATAGTATAGTAATTAGTGCTCCATAGGTTAGATTACAAGATACTATTTCAATTTTATATAAAGGTAATTGAATAATATTAATATAATTTCTGATATTATAATCTATTATATACTGTTTCTTATAAGAAATCATTTTATATATTGATTCAATAGATATTAAAATTGTGATCTTTCTGTTAAGGTATAGTAATAGAATAATTGTCTGAATAGTATTATAATAATTATTTATTGAAGAAATCTATAGAATTATCCACATATTTGAAAGTATAGATTGGACTATACATATGGTGTAAATTATTTTGCTGTTGACTTAATTGCCAAAATCCTCAAAAATAATTGCATCTGACTAAATTATTTTATATTTTTTAATAGTGACTCAATTAATTGCATTAAATAATTGCGTCAATTGCGTCAAGGATCTACCTATTTCTACCACATGTATAGATTGAACTATACTCTATTTTAATTAATTCCAGTCCACTATTCCTTTTCCTATTAACTGTCAAATAAGAAAGCTTTAAAGAAAAGTATTGAATTAACACTAACGTTTTGTGTGACATGATTCTTCCTGGATAGTTTATATATGTAGGAGTTGTATTTTGCTTGACATTTATATTCTTAGATTTAATAGTTTAAGTCATCAATTTTGAAACTGAAGTATCTATTAGGAAATTAAAAAATCAAGAAAACTGGTTTAGACTTGACCTATATGATCCTTAAGGAGTTATGCCCTATTTGATCACAAAAGTCTCTAGATTTGATAGCTTAAAGCCAATCAATAGTTAAAAATTAGAACATTTACTAGAGAATACTATATATATATTACATTGTGGCCCTTCTGTCATATGATATATGAGTAAAAAGATATAATATAATAAGTAACTTAGGCAAGCAGTCATCAGTACCTATTGCCCTCACAAATAGTTGAATTGGTAGATTAGATGATTTAAAACTAGTGATAGAATTTCTATCCCTTAGATAGGTACTTCTGAAAATGTATAACATATCTCAAGAGTAAATAGTATATCACTAAATATAAAATAGATAAGTTAGTATTTAGCTGTTGTAATAATAATAAACAATGTTTAATATAACCTAAAAATTAATTATTGTTCAATAAAACCTGTATCTAATGCCATTTTATTTCAAAAAAAAAACAAATAAATAAAAAATAATAATACAAATACTGTACAAACTTATTATTATTTTGAATAGAAATATCTTAAAATCAAATGATATATGAGAATTAATTTAATTGAGCATCATAATCTAAACTAAGTAAATATAATATAGCTATATTATATTTATTATATTTATAAATTTAACAAGTATAAAAAAAAGTACTGTTATAAAGAATAAAAGTATATTGTTATGGATTTTTTTTTTTATGCAATTGAAAAATAAATAAATTTTCAAACTTGACAGATTGTTAGTCTTAAAATATTATAATTCACAAGTTTAATTAATTCTTTTATCAAGTGCAAAATAAAATAAATACACAAGAACGAAAAAACCAAGAGAGTTTATTGATCAGATTATTGAGAAACAAATTAAAATTTTTATTAATGATTAATTCTGGACAAAGAAGATAAACGGTGATCACACACCGTAATCCCCGGGTAGCTCTTGTTCTCGCATTTGTGGTTGCATGCGCAATTATTTGAAAATCTATAAACTGACTTTCTATATGCATAGTAAGGTGTTAAGTTAGCTAGCATGTATCTATATAAATACATTCCCATGAACTTCTATGTTAATAGACAGTTAACACATCCACCAAGATATCGACATCTCATATAAAAAAGTCGAACCACAACTATACCTCAGCTACGCCGGCGATTCTTTGTCCTACGTCTTTTACTACTATACTTATGATTATGATAAGATTCGTAATCTGAATCCATTTCCATATCAGAAACATCCTCAATATATAATGAACTGTTATCACGTCTGCCAGAGGAACTATACCTTTTGTTACGACGATCCCTATCATAATCATACTCTTCTATACGCGACACCAGTGATTGATAATTGGAAATTTGAGATCTCGCATATATGTGACTATCATGCGAGCGCGATTGATTAAATTTACGCTTTGTCCTGTCAGCTTTTTCAATTCTTAATCTATCTGCACAGAGAATTTCGGTTTTGAATTCTCTCGAAATATATTCAAAATCATTTGAACTCGTTATTTTATATAAGCTATCACCGAGTGGAGCAATCAATTTCTCCAAAAACTCATGATAATCGTTAGCATGTTTACGCCTAACATCCTGAATATTTTGTTCCACAAAGAGAATAGACGACAAGATTGATTCTTTTTGCAATTCCGGAAATTTTCCATCATCACGCGGTAATATTCGCGAGAGATGCCCGACTCGAACAACAAGTCGTTTGAACGCACGCTGAAATTGAAGGCGTATATAATCCATATTGCGTGTCGATCGCGAGATATCGTTGCCTGTTAAATGCAATAAATTTAACCATCTCCAATTTGATAATAACAGGAGAAAAAAAAAAAAAGATTTGCATATACTATACCTTCATCTGTCGGGTCCTGGATACATAAGTTTGTTTTCGGATTTTTGTTTGCCCACGGTTCATTTTCCTGCATGAACAATGATTACAACGATTTTATAGATTTAACTATCAAATTAAATATTGAGTGGTTTAATGCGATAAGGCGTCATCATTCACCTTTGGGTAATAGCCATAGCCATCGGGAGATTTAATTCGTATTGCAAGTTTCTCGTATTCAAAATTGAAGCCATAGAGTTCAAAAAATTCTATTAGTATGACACCCAAATTCTCATCCTCTGGTACCACCGTGCCCTCTTGAATCTGGTGATGCAACTACGAGGAAAAAGGAAAAAAAAAAAAAACGTGGACTACATTATAATTGATGAAACCATGATCTAAAGAGACAACGATTATTCATGCAAACTACCTGAAAGAAGCTAAGCATCATGCAAAAAACAGTGAATCCACCCATCCCACCCATCGAAGGGTCGTCTAGTGCATGATGTCGTAAAAAATGCTTAACGACTATTACCAACTTTTCCAAGGAGGGCCATTCTTTCTTGAGTTTTTTTATTGCACGAGCAGAAACAAATCCTGACGCTTGGTTGAAAGATATGTCAACGTTGAAATTAGTATAACGTTCGCGAAATTTGATTATTGGAACCTATGATGGAGTTGTCAGGTTAGCCGGTACTTTGATGAATTACCATAAAATGTTGCTAAAATAACCTACGACAGCATTGAATATGGTATTTGGTTTATTAGCACAGATTTCTTGATCCACCAAAATTTCCGATACTAGCCTCAGTGATGAGGGAGTTTGAAGGTGGATAAAGCAAACCAAGTCAATGTCGCTTGTAGGAAGATAGAGGCCTGTGTTAACACTTCCAAATGGTACAATTTCAGCGTCTGGAAACTCTTTTTTGATGGCCAATTCTACTCGCTTTATCACGAATGAACGTAATGAACGTTCGACATCGGTCGGACTAAGATATTCTACCAACTCAAGAATTTCATAATGTAATCTAAATAAAAAAAATGTAAGGTTAGCATCAATTCAACTTTTCAAAATGCGAATGCGTAAATCTCATTGCGTGTGAACTTGCCTCTGGGTAACACTCGTGTATTCAATCTTACTTTCTTCAACAATCCAAGGTGTCTCTGATTTTGACGGTTTTCTCCATCGATCAAAATCGACACTCCTACGCCTTTTTTTTGAATTACGCTGAAAGTCTCTGATTTCTTCTGACGTTAAAGGATTCAAAGGGATGAAAGATTCATTTCTTCTATTCGAGCCGGTTTCCGAGGATTCGTTTGGGTTCCCTAATAAAAATGGCTGCAGCGTGGGAGCAA